CCCACCACTACTCCCAGCTAATTTTTGAATTTTTAGTAGAGACAAGGTTTCATCATGTTGGCCAGGCTGGTCTCAAACTCCTGCCCTCAGGTGATCTGCCTGCCTCTGCCTCCCAAAGGCATGGGCCACCGTGCCCAGCCTCAGGGAGAATCTTATTTTATTTTATTTTATTTTATTTATTTATTTATTTTTTTTTTTGAGACAGAGTTTCACTCTTGTTACCCAGGCTGGAGTGCAGTGGCGCGATCTGGGCTCACCACAACCTCCGCCTCCCAGGTTCAAGCAATTCTCCTGCCTCAGCCTCCCGAGTAGCTGGGACTACAGGTGTGCACCACCATGCTCAGCTGATTTTTTTGTATTTTCAGTAGAGATGGGGTTTCACCATTTTGACCAGGATGGTCTCGATCTCTTGACTTCATGATCCACCCACCTCGGCTTCCCAAAGTGCTGGGATTATAGGCCTGAGCGACCGCACCCAGCCTTATTTATTTATTTTTGAGACAGAGTCTCACACTCGGCTTGGTCTTGGCTCACTGAAATCTCCACCTCCTGGGTTCAAGCAATTCTCCTGCTTCAGCCTCCTGAGTAGCTGGGACTACAGGTGTGCACCACCACGCCCAGCTAATTTTTTTGTACGTTTAGTAGAGATGGGGTTTCACCATGTTGGCCAGGATGGTCTCGATCTCCTGACCTCATGATCTGCCCACCTCGGCCTCTCAAAGTGCTGAGATGACAGACATGAGCCACCTCGCCCGGCCAGGTAGTATCTTTATAGCAGTGTGAGAAAAGATTGATACACAGGGTATAGTCCACCCTGTTGGTGCCCCACCCACATCCCGTTGGCACTCACCTCTACAGAAAGGGTGCTGATGGCCGGCACCTGAGGCTCAGACTGGGGACCTTATTTTGGCTTCAGAAGTCCCTTACCCAATGTACAAGGCAAGTGCAAAGTGCTACAAAGTGGCTCCCCCTACCCATTCAGCAGACCCAGCCTGTGAGGGAAACTACTTTGGATGGTAAGTACCTCGCCTCCTCGCCCCTTAGGTGGGATAGCTTTTATCTATTTATTTATTTATTGAGACAGACTCTCACTCTGTCACCCAGGCTGGAATGCAGTGGCACAATCCTGACTCACTGCAGCCTCCACCTCCTGGGTTTAGGCAATTCTCATGCCTCAGCCACCCAAGTAACTGGGATTACAGGCATGCACCACTATGCCCAGCTAATTTTCGTATTTTTTTTAGTAGAGCTGGGGTTTCACCTTGTTGGCCAGATTGGTCTTGAACTCCTAGCTTCAAGTGATCCACCTGCCTTGGTCTCCGAATGTCCTGGGATTACAGGTGAGAGCCACTGCACCCAGCCGGGTGGGATAACTTTGATGCACATTCCGCACTGGGTCCCAGAGATCCCCAATGGGATTGAGCTTCAGTTGCCCACAGGGGTGACCTGCTCAATAATGCGCCCTTCACTGGCTTCTTTCCCTTCCCCTCTCACAGCCCCATTCCTCTGTGCCAGCATTTTCTGGAATCACCTCCCAATAATATACTTCCATTCAAATCCTCTTAGGTCAGATGAGTGATGGGAGAGGTGGACAGACTCGTAGATGATGCTCAAAAAGTTTAACATTGAAGCCGGGTGCAGTGGCTCACGTCTGTAATTCCAGCACTTTAAGAAGCCAAGGTGGGGCCAGGCACAGTGGTTCACGCCTGTAATCCTAGCACTTTGGAAGGCCGAGGCGGGCAGATCACCTGAGGTCAGGAGTTCAAGACCAGCCTGGCCAACATGGCAAAAGCCCGTCTCTACTAAAAATACAAAAATTAGTCAGGTGTGGTGGCACATACCTTTAATCCCAGCTATTCAGGAGGCTAGGCAGGAAAATTACTTGAACCCGGGAGGCGGAGGTTGCACTGAGCCACTGCACTCTAGTTTGGGCGACAGAATGAGACTGTCTAAAAAAAACAAAAAAAAAAAAAGAAGAAGCCCAGGATCACTTAAGCCCAGAACTTGGTGGAAACCAGCCTGGGCAACATAGCAAAACCCTATCCCTACAAAAAAAATCTAACAATTAGCCAGGTGTGGTATGGAATGCCTGTGGTCCAAGCTACTCAGGAGGCTGAGGTGGGAGGACCTCTTAAGCCCAGGAGGTAGAGGCTGCAGTGAGCTGTGATTGTGCCACTATACTCAAGCCTGGGTGACAGGGCAAGATACCATCTCCCCAAAAAAGGCTGAGATGGGAGAATTGCTTGAGCCCAGGAGTCTAAATTCACAATTGGCTAAAGCTTTTCTCGAATCTCCTCATCCCACCCTGAGGCTTTTTTTTTTTTCTCTGTTGCCCAGCTGGAATTCAGTGGCACCATCCTAGCTCACTGCAGCCTCCAACTCTTGGACTCAAGTGATCCTTCCATCTCAGCTTTCCAAAGCACTGAAATGACAGGTGTGTGCCACCATGTCCAGCTGCTCCATGCTTTAATAAGGTCAACTGAGGCCAGGCGCCATGGTGCAAGGCCGTAATCCCAGCACTTTGGCAGGCCAAGTGGGCGGATCGCTTGAGGCCAGGAGTTTAAGAACCAGTGTGGGCAACATGGCAAAAAACCCTGCCTCGAGAAAAAAGACAACAATTAGCTGGGCGTGGTGGTGCTTTCCTGTAGTCCCAGATACTCTGGAGGCTGAGGTGGGAAGATCATTTGAACCTGTGAGGTGGAGGCTGCAGTGAACCGAGATCGCACCACTCCACTCCAGCCTGGATGACAGAGACTTTGCAAGAAAGAGAGAAAGTGAGAAAGCGAGAAAGAAAGAAAGGAAAGAAAGGAAAGAAAGAAAGAAGGAAAGAAAGGAAAGAAGGAAAGAAGGAAAGGAAAGGAAAGGAAAGGAAAGGAAAGGAAAGGAAAAGAAAGAAAGAAAAAGAAGAAAGAAAGAAAGAAAGAAAGAAAGAAAGAAAGAAAGAAAGAAAGAAAGAAGGAAAGAAGAAAGAAAGAAAGAAAGAAAGAAAGAAAGAAAGAAAGAAAAAGAAAGAGAGAGAAAAGAGAGGCCGGGCGTGGTGGCTCAAGCCTGTAATCCCAGCACTGTGGGAGGCCGAGGCGGGTGGATCACCAGGTCAAGAGATCGAGACCATCCTGGTCAACATGCTGAAACCCCGTCTCTACTAAAAATACAAAAAATTAGCTGGGCATGGTGGTGCGTGCCTGTAATCCCAGCTACTCGGGAGGCTGAGGCAGGAGAATTGCCTGAACCCAGGAGGCGGAGGTTGCGGTGAGCCGAGATCACGCCATTGCACTCCAGCCTGGGTAACAAGAGCGAAACTCCGTCTCAAAAAAAAAAAGAAAGAAAGAAAGAAAGAGAAAAAGAAAGAAAGAAAGAAAGAAAAAGAGAAAGAAAGAAAAAAGAAAGGAAGGAAGGAAGAAAGGAAAGAAAGAAAAGAAAGAAAGAAAGAAAGGTAGATTAATTGATTTCTCCAATGCAAGGTGCTCTGTCCACATGACTCCAAGCCTTTTCCAGCCAGTTGCCACCCCCAGCCTCTCCTTGGGCTCTTTTGTTCTCCTTCAGGGAAGCAAATCACTGTACTCAGTAGCTCCCAGGTCCCAGGCAGCCCTTCAGCAGCCCAGCTGAGTTAGCCAGTCCAGGAAGCCTGTAATCTCTGCCATCACCGCTAGAGGCCACCCACACACCACCAAAGCTAACAGTTATTTTTACTAGGGCTCTCCTATTTCGTCTGCTCCTGACTTTAAGGTAGAATACTCTGCCTGCTCAAACTGTGCCTCCTCTTCCAGGAAGCCTTCTCAGATCTCTGCAGGTAGCAGTTTTATGTGGCTGCCTTCCCTTGCAATATTTTCTGTAGTTCTGTTATCTCATTGAGACGTTCAAAGGTTGTGGTGGCAGCCTGAGATGCTATGTGCCTAGGCAGGCTGGGGTAGGGTAGGGTGCCATTTGCACCAAGTAAGGGAAACTGTGATGTAATTTCCAGCAGATGGGCAGAATCCTCACCTGTCCTTTGTTCCAAGACAGGTGTCAAGACTGCCACAACTAACAGGAGAGTGAGCTCCTCACACCTAGGTATGAGGGAGCTGGAGAGCTTATGCCCCATCCCAGCTGACAGGGAAGGGGGGTTCCCATTCATCCTGCTCTGAGGTCTGGCCATGGCCCTTAATAGGAAGGTTCATAAAGCTTGGGGGCTGGGGAACTGGGGTCACTTGCCATCAGATGCCTCAGGGTGGACAGGGGAGGCCCAAAGCAGCACTGGAGTGCATGGAAAACCACTAAAAAGCTTTAGATTACACAGTGGCACCCACCTGTAATCCCAGCCACTTGAGAGAATGAGGCAGGAGAAAGCTTGAGCCATGAAGTTTGAGTGCAGCCAGGGCAAAATAGTGAGACCCTGTCTCAAAATAAAAATAACACAATTGTAATCCCAGCACTTTATGGGGACAGAGGTGGAAGGATCACTTGAGCTCAGAAGTTTGAGACCAGCCAGGGCAACACAATGAGACCTTGTCTCCACTAGGACAATTTAAAAAATTAGCCAGGCATGGTGGCACAAGCCTGTAGTCCCAGCTACTTGGGAGGCTGAGGTGGGAAAATCACTTGAGCCCAGGCTGCAGTGAGCTATGATCATTGCCACTGAACTCCAGCCTGGATGACACACCAAGACCCTGTCTCATCAGAAATAATTATTTGGGCATGGTGGCGTGTGCCTGCAGTCCCAGCTACTCAGGTGGCTGAATTGGAAAGATCACTTGAGCCCAGGAGTTCAAGTTTACAGCGAGCCATGATCATGCCACTGCACTCCAGACTGGGCGACAGAGTGAGACCATCTCTAAAAAAGCAAAACCCCCCAAAAAAACCCCAAAACAACAACAACAACAAAAACAACAACAATAATAAAAGGTTTGGACAGGTTCAGCAGTCAGGCTGGGCTGGAGACAGGTTTTCTACTAAGGAAGAGATGATCAACTAGGCCTGAACTGGCACCTCCTGGTCATCCTCAGGTTCACAGTGAAACACAATCATAGACCAACATTCTTTAATCACAAAGGCACTTGAGGACCCCTACAAAACCCAAAGTCTCTGCCAAAAGTGGCCCTACAGACGCCCCACCTGCCACCCTCCATCCACCCATCCCCACACTCAGAGTTCGTCGTGACCTGCAGAGGGCTCCACACTAGGCTTGATGAAGATGCCTTCCATGGCCTTCCACGTATTGTGCGTGTTGGCACTGGGCATGCCGTGGACCTCACGCTGCCCACGGATGGGGCTTCCGTACTGCTCACCCGTGACCGACAGGAACACAGAGGTGCCCACGTGCTGGAAGCGCACAGCGGCCTCACGCTCCCAGTGCTGTCCAGAGCAGCGGACTGTCCATAGGTCCAGGTCATCACCCTCGCCGTCTTCCCCAAAGGCACTCACCTCCTACAGGTGCAGAGGGTGAGGGGATAGTGGTCACCACAGACGGCAGCATTCACACCTAGTGCACTGAGCCTCGGTTCCTTCCCTGCCCTTCCCAGAGCCTCAGTTCCCACAGCTGCAAACGGTGACACCATGACCCCAGTCCCCCAACCTCGAGCACTCCATCCCCACACGGGCTCTTCAGACACATGCACCCACCATTGTATCTGTCTGTGCAGAGACCACTGGCCCCCACAGAGCTAAGGCCTCCTCCTCCATGTTCTCCTAACTCCTCTGATGCACCTTGGGAACAGCCTAAAATTCAGCCTTTCAGGCTAACAATCAAGCTGTCTATCTCAAACATTTTCTTCCATCAACTCCCCAAGGGCACCCACTGTTCCATCCCAACCCCCTGAATTCCAATGACCTCCATGCATTGGCACAATCTCTTCTGCTGGCTTAGGAAGTCCCTCTTTTCCCTCTGTGGCTTGGAGGACACCTTTTTAGACCCAGCCTGAGTTCCTCCTCCCCTGTGGAGTTTCCTATTCCCCACCTGGATCCCACTTGCCCCCAGAGGAGGAGTGATTTAGGCGGATCTCTCCGGATCTTTCTTCCCCTGGGTCTCCTTGCCAGGCCGGGAGCACCTGGGGGCGGGACCCTGGCAGAGTTACTCTGTGTCCCCGAGGGGGCGCTCAGTAACCATCTCTGAAGTGGGATTTCCATTTCACGAAGAAGCTGAGGCTCGCATTGGAACCCACGGCTCTGTCTCCGGCCCCTCCCACAGGCCAGGAGTCTCTCTGGGGGCTCCGGGAGGGGCTCACCTGGTTGTTGGACAGCGGCGACGGGAAGTGGTGCGTGTGCAGGTTCTTGCCGGTGAGCACGTGCGTGAGCCGCACAGCCTGCCCGCAGCGCACCGGGGACCCGCGCGGGCACCCGCCCTCCGAGCCGCCGCGGATCCGCCAGTAGCTATTGGCGTCGTCGGATGCCTCCACGCCGGTCACGGATTGCTGGCCGCTGCCTGAGGAGTGACACCCCCCCCACACCCCACCCAGGGTCTCTGTCAATCGCGGAACCGCGGGACTCTCGCCCTGGGACCGTAACATTTACCGGGGGACCCCAACATCTCACCCCAGCCCCGGCCCCCATCTGACACCCCCCTCAGTCTTTGGGCCCACAGTTTCCCGACAACTGTCCCCGCCCTCAATATCGTCGACACCCTCAAAGCCTTGCACCCCTCGATCCCCCAACGACTCTAGAGCCCCCACCGCCCGGCTCCCAGACGGGCCACAGACCCCCCACGACGAACCAGTCTCCACACTCCCGACCCCGAGCTCCCGTCCCCAGCGCTCTCCCAATCGCGGGCCCCACGCACCGGATCCGTATTTGATGTCGTGCGAGTGCAGCCGCACCCGATGGTGCGTATTGAGCAGCTTCAGCACCGACCCGCAGGTCACGAGCCCCGCGCCGGTCTTGGCTGCACCACCGCCGGGCACTAAGAGCGCCAGTAGCAGTCCCAGCAGCACCGGCCCGGTAGCCCCACGGCAGCCCGCGCTCCACATCTCCTCGGCCAGGCTCCAGCCGCTCCGGCCCTTGGGCCGCTTCCGTCCCCACCGCGGCCCAATCCGGCTCTGACAGCGGCCGGGCGCGGCAGCCAATGGTCGGCCCGCGCGGTGCTCCGCTTGCAATGCCATTGGGTCGGCGCGCAGAGGGGCCGCCTCCGGCTCTCGAGAGGAGTAGCTGGGCGGGGACTGGAGACACGAAGAGGGTTTTGATTGGTCCACGCTTCCGAGGACTTACCAATGAGTGTCCAGGGAAGGGCGGCTAAGTAGCCAAGCGGCGGCAAGTGAGGGGGAGCGGTTAGTGAGGACGCCGACCCCAGCGGCCACTCAGTCCCTGGACACCGGCTCAGGATCCTAGGGCTCTGCAGGCACGTTCACGACGCCCTTGATTCTGGACTCTTGGGTCCTCAGTATTGAGTCTCTCCCCGCAGAACCTGGGCCCGCACGGGCAGGGTCTTAAGGTTGCTGGATCACTAAACTTTGTAGTCACAAAGTCAGTCATTGAATCTCCTGGTCCTTCAGTCCCTGGACCCCAAAATTAATGAAACCCCCAGTCATTCGGCTCACTGAAACCTCTGCTTCCTGGGTTCAAGCGATTCTTCTGCCTCAGTCCTCTGAATAGCAGGGATTACAGGCATGTGCCACCACACGGGGCTAAAGTTTGTATTTTTTTTTTTTTTGAGACGGGGTTTTGCTCTTGTTACCCAGGCTGGAGTGCAATGGCGCGATCTCGGCTCACCGCAACCTCCGCCTCCTGGGTTCAGGCAATTCTCCTGCCTCAGCCTCCTGAGTAGCTGGGATTACAGGCACGCGCCACCATGCCCAGCTAATTTTTTGTATTTTTAATCAAGACGGGTTTCACCATGTTGGTCTGGCTGGTCTTGAACTCCTGACCTCAGGTAATCTACCCGCCTCAGCCTCCCAAAGTGCTGAGATTACAGGCTTGAGCCACCATGCCCGGCCCATTCAACGAGTCTTTATGGATCTGACTCCAAAACACATTTCAAGGCATCTCTCCTGGGTCCCTGATCCAAGCCCCTCCATCACCCATTCACATATCGACCACTGCCTCCTAACAGGTCTCCCTGCTTCCATTATGATGCTGGCCCCTGCAAGGCAGTCTCTACACAGGAAAGTGGAAAAGAGGGCTGGGCGCAGTAGCTCACGCTTCTAATCCCCGCACTTGGGGAGACCAAGGTGGGCAGATCACCTGAGGTCAGGACTTCAAGACCAGCCTAACATGGTGAAACCCCATCTCTACTTTAGAACAAAATACAAAAATTAGCTGAGTGTGGTGGCACGCACCTGAAGTGTCAGCTACTCCGGAGGCTGAGGCAGGAGAATTGCTTGAGCCAAGGAGGTGGAGGTTGCAATGAGCAAATATTGTGCCATTGCATTCCAGCCTGGGCAACAGGAGTGAAACTCTGTCTTTAAAAAAAAAAAAAAGTGGGCTGGGGTCGGTGACTCATGTCTGTAATTCCAGCACTTTGGGAGGCCAAGGCAGGTGGATCACAAAGTCAAGAGTTTGAGACCATCCTGGTCAATATAGTGAAACCCTGTCTCTACTGAAAATGCAAAAATTAGCTGGGCATGGTGGTGCATGCCTGTAGTCCCAGCTACTCAGGAGACAGAGGCTGGAGAATTGCTTGAACCCGGGAGGTGGAGGTTGTGGTGAGCTGAGATCACACCACTGCACTCCAGCCTGGGCAACAGAGTGAGACTCCATCTTTAAAAAAAAAAAAAAAAAAAAAAATAATCCAGGTGCAGTAGTTCACGCCTGTAATCCCAGCACTTTGGGAGGCTGAAGTGGGCAGATCATCTGAGGTCAGGATTTCAAGACCAGCCTGTTCAACATAGCAAAACCCTGTCTCTACTAAAAATACAAAAAAAATTAGTGGACGTGTGTGGTGGCTCATGCCTGTAATCCCTCAGCTTTGGCATGCTAAGGCTGGCAGATCATTTGAGGTCAGGAGTTCGAGACCAGCCTGGCCAGCATGGTGAAACCCTGTCTCTACTAAAAATACAAAAATTAGCCAGGCGTAGTGGCGGGTGCCTGTAGTCCCAGCAACTCAGGAGGCTGAGGCAGACTCGTTTGAGGCCAGGAAGTGGAGGTTGCAGTGAGCTGAGATAACACCACTATACTTCAGCCCGGGCGACAGAGCAAGGCTGCATCATGTTTTGTTTTTTTTTTGTTTTTGTTTTTTGAGACACAGTGTCACTCTGTTGCCCAGGATGGAGTGAAGTGGTGGGATCTCGGCTCACTGAAACCTCTGCTTCCCGGGTTAAAGCCATTCTCCCGCCTCAGCCTCCCAAGTAGCTGGCATTACAGGCACCTACCACCACACTTGGCTAATTTTTATATTTAGTAGAGATGGGGTTTCATCATTGGCCAGGCTGGTCTCCAACTCCTGGCCTCAAGTGATCTGCCCATATCAGCCTCTCAAAGTGTTGGGATTACAGGCATGAGCCTGGCCAAGACTTCCTCTTAAAAATAGGTAAACAAGGCCGGGCGCGGTGGCTCACGCCTGTAATCCCAGCACTTTGGGAGGCCGAGGCAGGTGGATCATGAGGTCAAGAGATCGAGACCATACTGGTCAACATGGTGAAACCCCGTCTCTACTAAAACTACAAAAAATCAGCTGGGCATGGTGGCGCGTGCCTGTAATCCCAGC